GCAGAGGCCTGAGGAAAACAGTAAAACCCAGAATCGCACAGTGCTGTGGACCATATCGAAATTTCTATTTCTATAAATAATATTAAATGATACCAGCTCTTTATAAGTAACCACCCAATTGGGGTTTTCTTAACATTTTGAGTGAATTTCTATAAGAATGCACCAAAAGCGTCCATGATTTGAGACAGTGGCTTGTTTATTAAGATTTTTCCTCCTCTTAATTTAAACCATTTCTGTTTATTTACCCTTTTCTGGTTTAGGAAATCTAAAAGAAACCAAAACTGACTCGTATAATTTATGATATTTTATATGAAAGATAAAAACAAACCAAGTTTTTATTTAATTTCATTCATTTGTCTGGAAACGCTTTATATGGAAATGACAAGATTTAAAAACAACATTGACGACAATATAATAATAATAATAATATAGAGGCTAGTTGTTCTTGCTTGTAATTAACACCGATCAAGATTTTAAAACAACAACGACAATATAATAATAATAATAATAATAAGAGGCCAGTTTTTCTTGCCCATTATTATTATAGTAACATTGTGTGAATTTGTGCGTCAACTAAATGTATAAGCCTCAATATGTCTGTATCTGTTTGCTCTGTTGTGTTTCTTGTTTATCCCAAATTTGTCTCTTTTTTTAACGGGAAATATTACACCAGCTGTGTTACAATGATTTGATGGCCTGCATCGAAAAACAAGGACATTGTGCGTGGATTTTTATTTTGAATTTTCTATGGCTCTGTGAATAGTACTTGTATATTTGTGCACTTAACCTGGCACTGCCAAAGCACAAGCTGTCAGTGTGCCCTATTGAGACCAGTAATGTCTTTGGTTTTGACAGAAAAATTGCACAGTTTTTAAACGCCTTTTGTCATTAAATGAATACGTTTTTATATAAAGAAGTGCCTCTCGTGAATCTGTGCCCCGCGCATGAAGATCCTCAAGATAAATGGATTCACAATTGCACACATTATTCGAGCATCAAGGCTGTTTGAATATAATGTTGCCTCGGGATGAGCTGATGCTGTAGCTCCATCGCAGCCCGTTGCAATTCCTTCGCTGCGATTTCTGCGTGACCATGGAGGCAAACGTTTGCCATTTCACTGGTAATGAAGACTGATTTGACGGGTTCAAACGTGTCCAGAAACAGATCAGAGACGTAGCCTATGTGAATATTTTATGATGCTATTCTGGATCTAAAACTTATTTTTCAAAATTCAAACAAGCAAATTAAAATACATTCATGGAAACAAAATAACAGACTACTGCTACAACATTAGTGAGCTGTTAATTAAAATTAAAATATGCTGGTATTTTCAAATATCATCGGCCATTTCCTGTAAATCAATTTACTGCTCCATCAATGTACAATTTTAGGAAAACGACCAAAACACTAGATGACAATTTTATTTACTGTGTATTTATAATGAATAGTGAATCTTAGGGCCTTGGAAATTTTCACTGCCTTGAAAAACAGTAAAGCCGCATGTGTGTGTGTGTGTGTGTGTGTGTGTGTGTGTGTGTGTGTGTGTGTGTGTGTGTTGTGAGCGCCATCTACTGACGATAATGTGTTGGAGAAAAGCAATTCTTAATGAAATTGAGATATTACAGTTGTCTATCCGTTTGCACGTTCTGTTTAGTCAAATATATTGTCATAAAGTAGCCTAATGGAATATGAGCTCGGGGGTGTATTGTATAAATAGCCTATACCGTTTCTAGTCACTCACCTTGCCAAGTGTGTTGTCAGTTCAGATGGTAGCCTACCTGTAGAGGTTTGTATAGGTTTGGTAACGTGCAAGTCAAAAGCCTCAAGTCATTTTATGTTGGTTGTGAATCATATTAATTTGACTTTTGTAGCGTGAGCATCAGGCTGTGTTTGAGAGAAAGTTCTTACCGTTGGAGAGTTGTTGTATTGGAACAGGTGGCACATAAAAACGTTGGATCAATCTTGCTTAAGGTTGAATATCAGCTTTTAAACTGAATTTATTTTAAACCCTCTGTGTGCTCAAAATCTTGTTTTAAGATTTAAAACAATCTGGCACATAAGACAGGCAAACGCGGAAGTTATTTTGTTTATAACGTATAACAGTAAACGTATTTGCGTTACAAACCAGTAGGCTAACGTTTATGATTAAGATAATAACCTAAAATCATGTAACAAATACCAGTTTGCAATTGATTATTTAAATTAACTTAATAAATAATTAAACTAAAACTATTAAACATATAACACACACAATAAAATGTTTTTATTATAATTGAGCTTTGTGACAATATATTTGATATAATTTAAGTAGTTGTTCTGTAGGCTACAGAAATGAGGAAGTTTAAAATCCTTCTAAATTATATGTAGGCCTATTAGTAAATATTAAGAATTAAAGAATAAACTGTAATCAGAAACCACACATACAACCAGGAACAGTTCATTTAATACAGCTATATTTCATGAAATATTTTTTTATCTTTAATATATTCGTCAGACAATTTGGGTTCCTTATGTTACAGTGACCATTAGTTCATGAACACAACCCCTCCCTCCCCAATATTATGTATAGCCCATAATAAATCCACCAGGGGCATGATACACACAACATAGACTCTGTAATATGGCTCTAAAATCAGCACACACACATGTAAAGAAACATGAGACTTGAACTTTTACCATTGCCTTTCCAACATTATTCCATCTTTGGGTTGCCATATTTCCATCACTTTTGGCATATGAGTGGGGCCGTATGTCTTGTGAGGAAAATAACTACAAGATTGTCATGTATGGATGGTAAAACTAAAGCTCAGCAAGGAACCATTAAAAATTCATTTGCAATAGTCTGTAACGCTTGTAGTGAGTTTTTGAAGACCAGCCTTGAATTCTGGCCTAGTGAGCATCATCTGAAATTCATTCAATATAATCAAAAAGAAAAACATACAGATCTCACAGGAACTAAACAACTACAGATATTCATGAAAAACTAATTAAAAGTCAATAATAAGTCTTTTGCAATACTTTCAAAATATAAATTAAATCACAAGCGATAAATAAAAAAAAGGTCATGTGGTCCAGGAATAACACATAGTACATACACAAAAAAAAAATTAAAAAAAATATAAATAATTGTTTTTTAGAATCAGGCACAGTCTTAAATCAAGAACAATACAAACAAGCAAACAAACAAACATCTTAAGAAAGAATATGGTTTTACTCGAGACTGGCTGCCAATTTTATGACTTTGTACTTTAAAGGAATAGTTCACCCAAAAATGAAAATTTGCTGAAAATTTACTCAGGCCTTCCAAGATGTGAATGATTTTGTTTCTTCATCAGAACAGATTTGGAGAAATTTAGCATTACATCACTTGCTCACCAATGGTTCCACTGGAGTGAATGGGTGCCGTCAGAATGAGAGTCCAAACAGCTGATAAAAACATCACAATCATCCACAAGTAATCCACACCACTCCAGTCCATCAGCTAATGTATTGTGTAGTGAAAATCTGTGTGTTTAAAAGAAACAAATTCATCTTTAAGACATTTTTTACTTCAAACCATTGCTTCGGGTTAAAATATGAGTCCTCTATCAATAATATTGTTTTCTCCAAATTCACAAGACATTAATTGATATACTGGAGTCGTGTGGATTACTTGTGGATTATTGTGATGTTTTTATCAGCTGTTTGGACTCTCATTTTGATGAGTGAATGGGTGCCGTCAGAATTAGAGTCCAAACAGCTGATAAAAACATCACAATCATCCACAAGTAATCCACACCACTCCAGTCCATCAGCTAATGTATTGTGTAGTGAAAATCTGTGTGTTTAAAAGAAACAAATTCATCTTTAAGACATTTTTTACTTCAAACCATTGCTTCGGGTTAAAATATGAGTCCTCTATCAATAATATTGTTTTCTCCAAATTCACAAGACATTAATTGATAATTTTCATTTTTGGGTGAACTGTTCCTTTAAGTCTTTGGAACATTTAAATAATTACTGGGACTCAAACCTTTTATTTCTGATAAAGCACCAGTTAATTAACCTTATGTTTATTTAAATAATAATTTTGGGACTATTATTTCATACGTCAAGCTGTTTTCACATAAAGTCACTATGTAACTTCAGAAGACCTAAAATATAGTGCATAAGTCATATAAACCACTTTTTTGGTGGTTTTTTACATCTTGACTGCCTCTGGTCACTGTATGCATTTATTGTATGAAAATAAGTAAAATTTGTTCAAAATGTATCTGTTATGTTCTACAGAATAAAGTAAGTCATTTAGGCTAGGAATGATAAAAGGATGATTAAATTACAGAAGTTAAATTTTTGGTTGAATTATTCATTAATGCATTACATAATTGGCCATAAAAAATTAAAATGGCAAGATCATCAATTTGGGAGTTCTGCTGCACTGCAATGGTTTGAGAAAATAAAAACATTTTCACAATAGCCATCCATCAGTTTTCTCGCTCTGCATATTCCAGTCTTAGTTTTGTAGATTTGACCGAATAAAACTGGACGTGAAGTTTAGATTGACTATGAGATATTGTGCCGTCTAAATCAGTCAAGTTGTTTCACACAAGTATCTACACCTTTCAATCAGAGCCCAAACCCCTTCTTTCTGTCTGTCTAGCTGTAGGCTATAATAATAAATCCCAGGCTGTAAGAAATGCTGTTTAGCTACAAACACACACGGTGAAAGGGAAGTGGTCACATGTGATGATGTTATTCTGCTGATGTCCAGCGCAGTGATGATGTCACACCGCAGGAGGAGTGATGCAGCTGAAGCGTCATTCACTCCGTTCCATTCTCGCGCTTTCATCCATCTTTATTATTCTGTTTGTTACTTTTTCTTCCTGGATTCTCTATGGCCTGACCTTACCTCGTTTAATAAAATCCTCGTTCTCATTAATTAAATTAAGTGTCAGAATACCTTTCCCGTCGGCTTTATTGCCTTCCCTCACTGAGAGTGGGAAAACCGCTGCCATGTCACCACGCCTTTATTTGACCAGCCCTTCCCCTGCTAAAGGGCTTGTGGGAGAACAAAGGGGGTGGGGCCCGTGCAGATACATCATCAAGAGGGTGTGGTTTTCACTTCAACTGCTCTATTTCCGAGCATTCGGTGTCCATGTCCGAGTCGAACAGAGAGCGCCCGGTGATATCGCTGTCCGGTGATGGCGTGTCGTGGTGCGACAGAGCGCTTTCCTGCTCCTGGAAGCTGCCGCTGCGTGAGTAGAGACCCAAATCCAGAAGCTGGGAAGGAGAATCCGGCTCCTCGCTCAGTCCGTCGTAGTAAAGGTCGTCGACGTCCACAAACCACTCCGGCCAGAATTTGCGGCGGATTCGCTCACAGTACATGGCCAGGTTGATGAACTCGCCTGCACCGATGAAGCAGCTTCAGTCAGTTAATTCTTATTTATTTATTTAGTCATTTATCAGACGCTTTTATCCAAAGCGACTTACAAATGAGGACAACAGAAGCAATCAGTTGTAGTATTAAAACAACTAAAAACAGATCCAAAACTAAAAGCTAAAACTTTATAAATACTACCTATACACATTTAAAAAAAATAAAGAGATTAAATAAAAATGACAAATGCATACAACAAAATTTCAAAACTTAACATTTAAATGGAAAACAAAAAATAAAGCTAAAAACAATTCAAAATATTAAAGAACAAAAGGTATAAGAGTATAATAATGATTCTAACAACACTAACCCAAACACCAAAAAAACAACTACATATGTGTATGTACAACCACACACATACATATATACTGTATATGTACATACACATTTATAAATTCAATATATATATATATAATATTTCATTTCCATTTAGTTTGTTGAAGTATTAAAATAACTCAAATAAAACTAAAAACTTAATAAAAGACCTATACAGATATCATAAATTCAGACATAATGTAACTACAATTAAAATAAATAACAAATACAAATAATACAAATCAAACGACAGTAGTTTATCAGTAATCCTAAAAATTACACTGCCAAACACACATGCTAAAAAACAACAACTTACTTACACATAGTAAGAAATGGTTATAAAAACTGAAACAGAAGCGAAACAAGTAAAAGGAAAGAGGAGAAATAAAAAGCGATACTTATCCTTTGCCGGTGTCCCTGCCCGGTGGAGTCGCACGGTAGATCGATGGTCTTTACACTCTTCGGTCTTCACA